ATGTGCCTGAGGCGGCACGGTCGTGTGATCGTAACAGACTAATAATAGCCTTAGTTTAGAGTAGTTGAAGCATTTTGACGCGTATACAAAGACGCGTTAAGTAGTAGGGTATAGGCTACATATCCTCGACGGCTATAAGAGCTATTTGAACTAAGGTTTTAAGGACTATTGCCTTGAGAACAAGATCCTTACTTTGTGTATGCCTTTACATTTATCTTATATCCTCCAGCCTCTCGACGTAGTATGTTTCTTACCGCTAAAGAGAAAATACTCTGAGCGTGTTAGAGGCTTGGCACGGAACCGCGTCTTCTATATCAACAAAGAGAACTTCCTTCCAGCCTTTAAGGACGCGTTTTTCGACGTGTTTACGAAAGAGAACTGTCGAAAGGCCTTTGAGGCAACAGCGATAGTCCGTACAGACGCGCAAACAGTTATTAATCGTCTTGATATACGTTTACACACCCCTCCTCAACAGCTATTACCGGAAGCAGTATAGGAGTCCCAAACACTAAGCAATTCGCATGAATTCGGATCTCAATTACGGCTGATTAGTAGCTCTTTCCTTAGATCTCCACCCGAAGCTAAGGAAGGGTTCTTACAGTTAGTAAAAGGTGCTGAGTTGATACTCTATCAGAATGTACTTCAAGCTGCACGGATTACAGAGCTTGAAGAGCAATTAGCAGTATTAACTAAGAGAAGATCGCGCAAACGGAAGCAGATACAGCAAGGTGGATCTGTAGAGTATAGTATTAGAGCATTGTAGGCAGGCGTAGATGCGGGTCTGAGTGCTCAACAATCGAAAAGGACTCGTGATAAAGCTGGTCCTGAACGAGGACTTCTAACTCAACGACGATGTGGAAACTGCGGAATAGCTGGACACAACTCGCGAACCTGCTAGCAGGATAGAGATGCTCCTTCTGAATCATATCCTAGCATAGCAGCTGTATAACTAGGTATGTAGTCAAATAAACCATGTTTGCAGTCACCTCATTTTCAATGCCAAGGAAAAGTGGCGGGTTCGGTGGTGTGGCCGGCTCGCTGATGGATTACGTTATATGATTCTGGAAATAAACAACAATGGCCTCCGAGCGCTAAAATGATCGTCAGTAACGTCCCGCCCGGCGTCGCGAGCTACCCTGTGTAACGAGCCGGCTTTGAAGATTTTCATCAACAACATCCGGCAAAACAGATATATAGTCAATAACCAGAGTAAAATTCCATTCACCTGCCATAATGTTTACTCCAACGACAGAAACCCTCATACCCAGATTGCTGTTAACGATTCAATTACATGTGGCAGCTCTCGTCGAGGTCCACTACCGGAGAGGACTCAGCAGCATTTCTCAGCACAATCTCCGATTGTTGTGGATTCCATGGTGAGCAACAATTAATCAAGCCTTTAATTAACTACATAACATGAGCAACCGAAGCATACAGCAGGGAAGGCGGAGACTGTGAAGACCGAAGACTAACTACTGTGGGTGCTGTGTGATAGCAACGCGATGTGATCTCATCACCTTGTAGTGCGGGAGCCGAACGCGATGGCATCAAGAATCCAAGGGATGTCGCTCAAGAGCCGATAATGCTTTGCCTGAACGCTCACGAGGAGTCCTGAAGCAAACGAACGCTGGCCGTCTGCGTTCCCTCCGATTCCTGCTTGGATCACACACATTACACCGCATCGCACCGCTGGACGGCCGGCGCCGAGGCGATGTGGGAGGACGTGCACGAGAGGAAGAGGACGGACACAGCGGGGTATCGCAAGGTGCACGGATTCGTGGAATACATGAAGAAGCATCTACCATTGGTGAAGTGGCTGTGGGTGGACACATGCTGCATCAAGCAGCAGAGCGACCGCGAGCTGTCGGCCGCGATCAACTCGATGTTTCAGTGGTATCGCGACGCGGAGGTGTGCCTGGCATATCTGGAGGATGTGTCTGTAGCAGGTGACATGACCGCTTTCGAGCACAGTGTGTGGTTCCGGCGCGGGTGGACGCTGCAAGAACTGCTGGCGCCGGGCGTCGTGGTCTTCCTATCGCGCCACTGGGGGATAATTGGGCACAAAGGGCACAATAGTCGGGGCCGAAGCGGGATGTCGATGCAGACTGGGCCAGGGCTGGAAGACATGATTTCTACTATAACGGCCATTCCCAGAGAGATTCTGCATGATTATCGAGCAAGCTTAACGCCAAGCACCAGGGCGTGGCCACCCCCAGGGCGTGGCCACCAATTTCCGTATTAACCACAACAACAACTTCAACGCGTGATGGCTCCATCAAAACGCGTCCAAATGAGCTCAAACGAAGGGAGTATACTCCTTGCAATATCAGCTCTCAAATCAGATGCTATTGACTCCGTGTCAGCCGCTGCAAAAATGTACAATATCCCAAGATCAACACTACGTCGCAGATTGCAAGGAATGCCTAGTAGAGAGGACTACATGCCACAGAATAGCAGTCTTACTCTGATCGAGGAGGGCGTCCTTCTTAAGGACATATTGAAACAGGATTCTCAAGGGCTATCTCCTACCCTTGATATTATACGATCTATGGCCAATTCTATCTGCAAACCCTAACCCCAAAACCTGAAGTTGGCCGGCATTGGCCTAGCAGGTTCATTCAGCGCAATCCCTCGCTAATAATGAAATCTGGAAGGACCTATGAATGCCAGAGAAGGCTCTGTGAAACTCCGGTAGTGATTGAGGCTTGGTTTGAGCTTGTGAAGAACACTATCAACAAGCATGGCATCTTACTACAAGACATGTACAACTTTGATGAGACAGGCTTTCAATTAGGCCAGATCTCAACTTCTAGAGTAGTCACATCATTTGAAAGGACTGGTAGGCCAAAGCAAGTCAAGCCTTCAGGCACTGAATGGATCACAGTCATCCAAGGAGCCTGTGCGGATGGTTCAGCCATACCACCACTCCTCATCTTCAAAGGCAAGACTATCAACTATTCATGGCTTGGAGAAGACTTTCCTCAGACATGGATGTTTGCAGTAAGCCCTTAAGGCTGGACAAGTGATGAGATTGGCTTGCAATGGATCCAACACTTTGAAAATCATACAAGAATGAAGACTATTGGCAGCAAAAGATTGTTGATCCTGGACAATCATGGGAGCCATACAACACCAGAGTTCACCTCTTTCTGTATGAAGAACAATATTGTCCTTCTCTGGATGCCTCCTCACTCATCTCATATACTCCAGCCTCTTGATGTTGCCTGCTTTGGCCCTCTGAAGCAGGCCTTCTCAAAACAGACTCAGCACCTGATCCGCAACCATATCTTTCATATCAACAAAAGCACCTTTATGGATGCATTCAAAGCTGCATACTTTGAATCAATCACACCTCAGAACATCCAGGCAGGGTTCAGAGGCTCTGGCCTGTATCCATTCAACCCTGAGGATGTGTTATCAAGGCTTGACCCATCATTTTCATCACCTCTCAGCGCAGCTTCACAGGGCTCCTGGTGTACAAAGACTCCAAAGACTACCCAAGAGGTGGATCAGCAGGCCACATTGATTAAGAGAAGGCTAG